GCTCGGGGACTGCCGTCGGCATTCTTGCTCCATTTGAGCAGCATTCTGCTTGTGAGTGTCCTTCCGGGTGTGGCTTCCTTGGTGGTCTGAAAACTCCACACTCCGTTTTCAAAAAAAGAAGACAACTCTTTTTGCTTGGCCTGTTGGAAAAGCAGGCGATGTTCCAGGGACAGTTCACGCTCCCGGATTTCACCTTTATTTTTCTGCATCTTCTTATTGGCCATAGCCTTTTGCTTTCGGCCCAGCTGCTTGGCTGACTGGGTGTCATGGGTAGTCATGCCCATCTCCTTACGAGTGTCCCCGTTGATCTGGAAGATCGTGACACCAGTCCATGCTTTTCTGGTTGGGGTACCAACTCCATTTTGCCAAACATCAGATTCCTGTTTGAGCTCTTGGCCCGTCTTCCGCACGGTAATGCGGATGGAGTCCAGCTTTTGCAGGGAGACTGGAAGGTGTTGGAGCTCTCTTTTGTTGAGCTGTTGGAGGCCGAACTTGGTTCGTCGAGGCACGACGTGGTGGCGAATCAAACAACCTGCTTTCACCTCCCAGTAGTCTTGAGGACTGCGGTCCATGGTGATGAAGCCATCTTCCATGTGCCATCCGGGCGGAAGGAACGAAGGGTCAAGTGCATCGATCTCAAAACTGTGTCCAATGACATCGTCAGTGCTCGGTGTGGATGGCTTGTCGTAAGGACCTGCTCGGTGGCTGGAGGTGCTGGTTGTTTCTGGTTGTGATGACTGAGGAATGCCACGATAGCGTCGATTGCCGAATGAGATGGTCTCTTGTTGGTCATATCGTCGTCTCATCAGCTCAAAACGCTCACCAGGTTGAGCTGGCTGGTACAGGGCCTCTGTGTCTGGGTCCAGCTGGGGCGCTGGACTGTTTTGGCTGGCCCTTGAAGGAGGCGGACTGGGTTCTCTGGATGGTTCGTTCAGAGAAGGTGTGTCCGGTTGGTTCTCTGGGACTGCTGGTAGTGCCTCAGGTGGTAATGCAAGTGGCGCCGGACTCGTGGTTGGTGGAGCCTGTTGTTCTGGTTCAACCCCTCGCTGACTGTGTGCAGGGGATGTAGGGGCATACTCCAAATCCGGTTCGGACTGTATTGGTTCATCATTTGGTGCAGGCTGAGTGGCATCATTGAACGCAGGTGCTACAGCTTGTGGTGAACCAATTGGTGCTTCAAGTCGGCGTCTTTGCAAGGGAGGCTGCAAGTCTTCCTCTTCTTCTTCCATTTCTTGTTCAATCTCCTCCTCTTCCGACTCTAAGTCTTCGATGCGACGTTGCGACGTCGATTGGCCACATTGAGATCCAAAAGTCTGGTGACTCCTCTGCTTTTCAGCTCTGACATGGCCTTCTTTGCTTCTTGGATGCCGTTGATCAGGGTGTCAGTCTCCTTCTCCAAGGCTGGTCGCAGGTGATGAGGTGCACAACGGATCAACTGGGTCTTGTGGCTGATCCAGTAGAGACAGGGTTTGCCATCGTCACCATCTTCTCGCATCAGAACTCTTGCGGGGCCTTTCCATCTGACCTTGACCAGGTCAGCCACTCTGGCATCTCGCCAGTAGTAGCAAAGTTGACCAGGCTGGAAAACAGTGCTGGTGCCGAAGTACTTTCGGAGGAGGCCTCGCCGTAGACGGCGATCGATGTCTGTCTGCACAATGGCCATGCGAGCAGTTGCTCGCTTTTGCAGCTCATCCTCAAAGCCCTTGGAGCCTTCTAGGTGAAGTGGTGACAAATGAGGGTTGAGAAGGTCTCCAGGAAAGTGGGGCTGTTGACCCAAAAGCCATTGAGAAGGACTGTAGCCAGAAGCATTTGGCTGAGCATTCAACTGTGGAACCACATAGACTAGGGCTTCTCGGATTGCAGAACCTCCTTCTTGAGCAGTTTCTCGCAAGTACAATTCACAGCTTTTGCGAAGAACAGCGTGGCGTCTTTCGACCAATGCCAATCGTTCATGTGCTTCACCACCTAGAGAATCCAACGTTGCGCTAGGGACAAGATTGTATGCAAACGACAATGTTTTCCTAAAACGCTGTCGTGCGCTAGCCAAGCCTGTCGTTTGCATCGCATGCCCAGTTGTGGTTTATAAGCACAATTGCGGGAAAATTACTTGATTGTTGAAAATTACATTTTGAAAACGAGCGATAACAATAATGCGTATGTCATTTACGACAAATTCATTTGCGCCGGGGTCGTTTGCATATTGCGGTTTGCTTTGGGGTCCTTTGCAACGTGATCGTTTGCGCCGGGGTCGTTTGCAACGTGATCGTTTGCGCCGGGGTCGTTTGCATACTGCAACATGGTCGTTTGCGCCGGGGTCGTTTGCAACGTGATCGTTTGCACCGAGGTCGTTTGCGCCAGTGTCACTTACACCAGGTTCCTCCAAAACAACAAATATATAGGCTCAGCTTACCACGCTCCCCTACCATTCTTTCAGATTTTCCTGGTCCATTTTCATGATTTTTTCACCCTTGGGTCTGCACTCTTTGATAGGAGGAGTTCGCGACTGCTCACGCTTTGTATTTGATACATATATATATATAAACGCAGGTCGAAACTCACGTTCGGCAATGGCTCGCTCGCCCGCCGCTTCTCCGCTTTTCAAAGTTGAACAGGGGACATCTAACTGTAGCTTTTCACATCTGTTATAGCTGTTATAGGTGACATCTACCTTTAGGGCACCTGTTAGGGTTTAGCCCATGTTCTCCTATAGTTTGCAACTGAACTTCTTCACGTGTTCCCTACCAAAAACTAGATTTAGAACTCTCACCATCTTTGTCATTCCCTTCACCGGGACGCCGGGGGGGCCGCGTGGGCCCTGTCACACGCGGTGTGGAGGCCGGACTGCGTGAGAGAGGGGAAGGGAACCGGTCGCATTCAGTGAGACTTTTCTCGGCCCCCTTGAACGTACGCAGCAAACCCAAGCTTTTTGCTTGGTATACCCCTCGTCAGCACGGCAAACATTGCACTCAGGTTGTAGAGCTTTTGTAAATCCGTTGAAATTCTTATACTTGCCGTGCTACCCTTTCATGGTCTTCTAAAAAGACCGCCAAGGTTAACAAGTACCTTTGGTACAGCCTTCGGGTGCAACTGCGCCCGTGGCAATGAATCCCAATGGCCTTTATGCGGCCCAAAAACGCCTCCTCCTCAAAGTTCTGATAGGTGGCTGGGTTGATTCTGAACCTGAGAACCTCATCTGCAATATGCTCATTATAATGAGTCTTGCTCCTGGTTTTGAAGAGCAGCTGCCTCCTCTACGGGTAGCACTCTGGTTGCCGGTAAGGAAAGAACGATAAGTGTGTAGTAAACTCTCAAGAATTTCCAAACAAAACCATGTCCTTTGGTAGTGATACGCGGCAAGCCAAAAGTATGCTCGGAGGTGAAGTTTTAGTGAGTTGCCCGCTTCCTGCGCCTCATCTTCACTGAAGATGACTCCTGACAGGTCCATGAGCTCCGTGCACCTTTGCAATGCGAACGTGCACATGGCCAGCACATTGAGGACAGCGTCCTCGGGCGGGCAGGGTGGATGACGGTGTGGGATGGGAAGCTGTTCTTACCCCTGCTGCTTACTATGTTTGGTTGACCTCCAGCCTAAAATAGAACCTTGCCAAGGGTCAGTGGGGTTTTGATCAGCAAGTTCCTGACTTTCTTTGGCCAGCCACCAAAGCATTCGCTTGATGTGGGTAGCTTTGAATCTGGTACCCATGGAAAAATAGCCATCTTCACCGGTGAGATTGGCATTGGTCAGGTTTGGCTTCGCTGGAAGCACCAACCTTTAGGGCTGAGAACTTAGAAACACAAAAAACGTGTGACAGTTACCTACTATCACTAAAACACTTGGCACATTAGCGCATTCAGGGAACCCATGTTGCCGACAAACATCTCGCATTCGTCGATGGACGCGGCTGAGCGCTTCATCCATTTCCACCCCCTCCACATCCCCTACAAGCCCCTTCTCTATCAGAACCATGATGCCACTTGCACATAAGTCCCTTCCAGTCCCTAAATATACGTTGTGCATCCAATCAAAGCTGATTGCCAGAAAGTTGAACCCTGGCATGCACACCCAATGGCTCAATGAACTTGCATCAAACTCCATGTAAGCTTGGTGGTTGATGGCCGTCAAGTGCCAGGCAGAGCTATTGGTAACGTTGCGGTAATCCAGCGCCGGTGGGCATCTGGTCCCCTGCATTGCTAGGCATCTGTCGCAAAACCTGGGATGGCAAGGTAGCAGAACAGAACCCTTCAGTAGCTAAACCTTTAGAAAAGCTTCACCCGATTGGAAAGATGGTTCATTGATGTTGCAAGGTGACTCGTTGCAGCGGTAGTACCGCTTGAAGTTGTGAAGCTCATGGCGGGCTTTCAGATCTGCTTTGAAAGCAAAAAAGCAAGCCCTGCAACGTTTACCCAGAGGGGGAAACAGGATGTGAAAATTCGACCCCATCCAACCAACCATCCTACCATGCATTTTGGAAAACGTTGGTGTGAACTTTTCAACTTGAAAGATCTCCTCCAGCCACAACCAAGCTGTTGACCGCAGAGGTGACCCCTAGAGGTTTTTGCCAGTGGCTCTCCAGCAAAGCCCGTGTCAGGACCCACACCGCTTGAAGCCACCTCCATCGACCAGGCCATCAAACGGGCGATCGTCTTGTGCACGGCTTGCCTAACCTGGGTCGGCTCGAGTATATAGAACCCATCAAGTGAAGGGAACCTAGATATAAACACGCAAGGTATCTCATATACATATATAACGCACAGCTTTCAAAAAAACTGGAACAAGTAACAGACGCGCTTCTCATATGCCTCTCAGGGATGATAGCGACTGGCCATTTATATAATAGGACATCTTGAACCAGGCCCTTTCCGCCCCAGATACTGCTCCAAGACCAAACATAGAACTCATCTTCACGATAGAATTGGGCTCCGTCAGCGTGGATGCAACAGGGGATCAAGCGGTGGTACAGGGCATCACTCGTGTGAATGGGGTGGTTCTTCCAAGGTTCCAAATCCTTTATGACATTCCAGAAATGTCGCCTGCTATCATCGCAAAAATCCCCGAGCATTAGGCTCTGAAAAGCCCATGCGCTCTTGGTCGCCAAGCAGTGAATCACTTCGTGTGGAAGGAGAACATGCACAGGGGTTGAGCGAGGCTTTGACCTCCATCCGTTCACCTGTAGCAATCCCGTTGACACACGTGTGGGTTTGGTCAGTATTTTTCTGCGGCGCGACAAAAAACAAACATACCCAACATAGGGAGAACCAGGGGCTGGCCTCAAGATCCATGGACACCACATATGTCTCCAGCGAAAAACCCCACAAATGTCTGAGCCAAGTGTGTAGGTCCCTCTCTTGGTTTGCAGGAAAAGCCCCGTCAGCGCCAAGTGATCCAAAGGCGCGAATCGCTTCGTGCGGGATCCCCTCAGAGTCGGCCACCTGAAACAGAGTCTGCCGTGTTTCAGAATTTCAAGTCTTAACATGGGTTTGGCCGGCAGGTCGGTAAAGAAAGCATGTGAGCCAAGCTACAACAGACCTTGCGATAGTAGCTGCAGCATCAATGCTCATCTTTCCCCGGCCGATCAAGTCGGCAAACTTTTTGACTGTTTGAGAATCTGGAAGATCTTCTAAACGTCGTCTCTTCCTGTATGATTTCAGACAAGTGCTTTGGTACTCAGTGTGATGAAGTATCTAGTGACTCTAGTTTCTGTCGGCCCCATCGGGCAGGACCCGACGCTCCTTCCAGCTTTGAAGGCACCAAGACCTGTTGGGAGTTTCCAGTGCGGCGGACCGATTGATCGACGCGACATCGACTGCATGATCGACTGGCAGAGAGAAGAGATAATACATGCCCTGAAACTATCCTTGACATTCAAAACTATATACATATATATATATATATTACAATCATAACTAGCAGGAATGAGGGAGCATAAACACAACCGTTGATTCTTTTTACAATCATAACTAGCAGGAATGAGGGAGCGTAAACACAACCGTCGATTCTTTTTACAATCATAACTAGCAGGAATGAGGGAGCGTAAACACAACCGTCGATTCTTTTTTCGCTTCACAGCCTTGGCTTTGTAGACATTTCTAGACGTTGAAACTGCATGAGCGGTGGCCCCTGGCAAAACTGAAGGGTTCAGATCTAATCTATGGGGCCACCAGCTAACAAATCAGCAAATGTTTCACACTTGCAAACCCCAAATGGTGAGAGGCCCAATCCTCTAACATGCGAAGGTCTTAGGCTTTTGCTTGCTTTCCGCGCTTGGCCTTCTTCTTGGTCGAAGCCTTCTTTTTTGCTCTTGGTTTCAAAAAGGCTGCAGCAGCTGCCTAGCAGCAAAAATGTCCAAAACTTTGTAAAAGTGGCAAGGACAAAACTGAAGCTAGAAAGCGTTGGTTGGGACTCTAATGAATTACAACATTGTTCGAAGGCTGGAAAAAATGGAGAGCTGGAAATAGTAAAGCTGGGGAGCTCGAAAAGATGTGGAGAAGCGAGTTGTGAAAGGGTTCTGCAAGTTATCAGCCGTATAAGTTATCAGCCGTATGGCGTTTTCCCTGCCTGCGCTTTGGAACCCTTTGTCATGAGTTCGTTGGCTGTATTCACGTAAGCCTTGATCACTTTCCCGTTTCCTTCCCCGACCTTGGTTGCCAATTTCTTGTAGCAGTCTTCCAACTCACCAGCGTGAGACAGCAGATCTTTGCTGAGCTCCTCAGCAAATTCCATGCCATTGAGCTTGATGGACAGCTTGCGACCTTCCGAGGCTTCCTTCAAGATGTCAGGAAGCAAGGCGTTTGCCTTCTCTACCCATGTTTGTGGCTCCACCTCCTTGGCCTCCTCCTCCTCCTCCTCCTTCTTTTTCTTCTTTGGTGCAGCCACACCACTGGTGATCGCCTGCAAGAGAGCCTTGCTCCCAGCTGCAGAAGCACCCGAGACCTTTGGCAGTGCGCCAGGCCTCAACAGTCCGTCCTCTGACGTCAAAGCGCTCCGCATGTCAGGATCGACATCGACCTTGGCCTTCATACCAAGGGACTCGATGCATTGCTCCTTCTGGGTGATCTCGTCGCCCTGCCGAACGAAGTACCACATCTCCTGCGAGAGGTGGCAAGCAGATGGGAAGAGGGATCAAAAGTCAAGCGGTGGAGGTCTTTGATTTTTACATTCTACTGAATGGCCCCTCAGAAAAACTTCAAAAAACTGGTCTCCTCTTCGTCGGAACCAAAGTCGTCATCCTTGTACACCAGCCCTTGTTGAATCCTCTTCTCCTTCAGCTTCTTCCATTTTTCCTCCGTGTACTGCTTTTTCAACTCTTTTCCCTGCACTGCGCGCCAGCCGCGCTTGGCTTGCGCAACCTCACGCCGCTGGCGCTCGAACTGAAGGGAGCAAGCTTTCCAGTCGTAGCCTGAGTCCAACCACATGTTGAACAGCTCAGTCTTCTGGGTCATGAACATTTCGCTCAGCTCCACAGGCATCTTGCCCTTGCTTCTCGCTTGGCGACAGAAAGTGTCCCACTCCCGTTTGTTTGTCGAGCTGTTGCGCAGTGCCAAGGAAGTCTCCGTGGTGTGCTGTGAAATGGGAACCAAAGCATGGCAAGGCTCTTCCACCCTGCTTTTATCCTTCTCATCAGCCTCCTCCTCTTTCTTCTGCTTCTTACCCTTCTCCTCCTCCTCCTCTTCTTCTGTTTCTCCGCTTTCACTTTCACAGCTTGCTTCGGCTTCACTATCTCCCTCCGAGGCTCCTTCGTCCTCTTCTTGCTCTTCTTCATCCTCCTCCCCTTCTTCGTTTTCATCTTCTTCGCTGTCGCTCTCCTGATCCTCCTCCTCCGATTCAGATTCAACACTTTCTTCTGCGCCGGACTCATCAGCAGTCACGGAGCCGTCCAACTCGTCGGCGAAGGCTTCAAGGTCAGTAGCCTCACAAGAGTCACTGTCTGAACCGTTCGATGCCTCCAGAACAGCGGCCAGCTCGGCGAGCCTTTTCTCAGCCTTCTCCTTCGGAGACATGGAGCTGGAACTTGACTTGGCAGAAGTTGCTTCGAAGATGGGCTCAATCTTGTCTTTCAGGCATGGCTTCCATTTGACAGGCTTGGCACTCTCCTTCCTCTTCTTTGGGTCTGGCCTGTCATCCTCTTCCTTAAGCTGCTTTCTCTTCTTGTCTTTGGACTTGCCTCGTTCCTTCTTCTCCTTCTTTGTCTTCTTGCTGTCTCGTGCTGCGATGTCCTTCTCCTTATCCTTCTTGTCTTGTCCACGCTTCTCCTTCTTCTTCTTCTTCTTCTTCTTCTTCTCTGGCTTGTCTTCTTTGTCTTCCTTCGGCTTCTTTTCCGTCTTGTCTTCTATTGGCTTCTTTTCTGCCTTGTCTTTCGCCTTTTCTGTCTTGTCTTCTTTCGGCTGCTTTTCTGCCTTGTCTTCTTTTGGCTTCTTTTCTGTCTTGCCTTTCGCCTGTTCTGTCTTGTCTTCTTTCGACTTCTTTTCTGTCTGGTCTTCTTTTGGCTTCTTTTCCTGCTTCTCCTTCTTGCCTTGCTCTACACTCTTCTTGCCTTCTTCCTTTGCCTCTGTCTTCTTCTTGCCAGGCTCTTCCCTCTGCGCCTTCTTCTCTTTTCGTGGCTCTTCTGGTTCTCGTGCCTTCTTCTCTTTCTTGGCATCCTTTGGTTTTTTCTCATCACCCTTCTTCTCCACCTTCTCCTCGCTCCTTGCCTTCTTCACCCTTTGGTCCTCAGCAAACGCTGCTCGCCTTTTACCATCTTCTTTCCCCATCTCCTTGTGTTTCCCTGTCCTCAAGGCCGATGATCTTGAAGAGGAAGTGGATGCACTTGTTGGAGTCTTTTTGACAAGTCGAGAACGGGGTGGTGTGCTAGGAGGCTCAGGCATAGGAATTCGCGCACGGGTGCACTGCAGAGCCCAAAAGTCTAGGGACGAGGTGCCATCCTACAATGCGCACGAATTCGCTCCAATGCGCACGACTTTCGCTCCAAAGCGCACGTTTTTTTTTAAACATTTTTTTAGGAAAAAACGGCGCCAGAATGATCTTTTTGTGTTTTGTTTTTTCCTGTCAACCCTAGCACGGTCTTCCGTACCCAGACGCCTGCATCTGAAGCGCTCCGAGTGAGATAGACACGCGGCATTCACCTGCCGGTTTAAATAAAGACTGTTGGGGGAAGGTCTTGGCTTAAATCGAGACTGTTGGGGCAAGGTCTTGGCTGCTCTCGTTGGGCTCTCATGGTGTGATTTGAGCATCCCTCGAACAAACCCTTGCCAGGCCTGAAGAAAGAGCTATCTTGAAGATCGCCGCAAGGCCGGGTCCTGCGTGCCATGAAGAGTGGGCGTGGACAATTATGACCAATAAGAATGGGCATGGAAGTTTAAGAGGGCTTGCATGGTGGGGAGCCTTCAATCATCCTAGCAAGCCATTGTTTAAAGCCTAGCCAGGACACCTTAGTTTGGCCTATTCCAAAGGCGTGCGTTTTGTGAGTGTTCCAAACCAAAGCACAGCCTGTCAGTGGAATATAAAATTCGCTTGCTTTTCACCCCACAGGTCGACGCATATAGATCTAAATCAAAGCAAACAACTCCGCTGAAAGGAAGCTGATTGCTGAGTCCCACGAACACAGCTAGCAGCGCATATCACACAGCTATAGCTAATTGGAAAATGATCACGCTTCAGCACCAAAGGCTCGAAGTCCGAGCGCCAGTTTCAGGTGCTCGTGAGGAAATCAAAGACAGGTTGCAAGTTGGCCCCTGCCATCCACGCTCTGTTAATACGTGGCCTTCTATCAAAATCATGCTCGGTCTTCCGCGCAGCTTTGAGAAACCTTTTGGCTGCATTGAAATTTCTTTTCGCATGAAGTGATCTCACCTTCGACAAGGCCACTCCAAATCCTCGAGGGTAGCTTTGGCTGCCCTTGAGATGTTTGCCTCCATGAACTCGGTTTTCCCCTTGACGGTTTGTGTAGCGCACAACCATCTCTCGCTCTTCGTATTGCGGCTCCTGTGCAAACTCCTGGATGTCTTGCAGGCAGCGACCATGACCTTCCAGGGTAATAGTGTATTTCTGCGTTTCCAATAGTAGCGCGCAAACATGGCAGAATGCAGAAACAGCAACAAGTTTAACTCTACAAGTCTGGACCTGCCTGTGAACAGTATGGTGCGCTTGGGGGTTGGCGCTCCATAGTCTCCCATCGCGATCATGAGCCGCTCAACACCGATGCGGCGGATGCAGTATTGGAAGAGTGGGTGCAGGTGCATGATCGAAGTGCTTGGTTGCTCGAGGATCCAGAAGCATGCTTTGCAAGCTGCGAGGATGACCAAGATCAGAGCTCTGGCTGTAAGGATGTTTCCATCCCTTACAGCTTGGGAGTCTTTCCTTCCCAGTGGGCGAGAGACCGATCGAAGTGTGCTGCCTCGGCTCCTGAGCTGCCAGAACTCTAGGTAGACTTGTCCCACCGGAAGCAAACACTTAATCTTTCAACATCCCAAACAAAGTGCAATCGTTGAAGCAAAGACCAAGTGGCATGAATACCCATGTCGAACAAACAGGAGCAGTGAGCTTCCCTCCTCCAGGGCGCAGCCGGCACACGCAATGCAATGCGTTTGCAAAGCCTGCTGGTGTGGGTAAATCCATCCGTTCTGGATCCATTCTCACATCGAAAGGCGCCGCTGAGCGCCCTGCCTTACTTGCGAGGGCAGTTGCACGGGCCCACACTATCATTTTGAAATGCTAGGCCCCCAAATCTGACCCCCGCAAATACCAAACTTTGATTGTAATCTTGTTTGTTTGATTGGACTTGTGGGGGTCAGGTTTGAGGACTGCTCCACAATTACCCATTGGCATTCAAAGGTGAGAAAGCACAAACGTGAAGGAAAATTAATGACATCGGGCCACATTCCACTCAGCCTTTGTGACTTCGGCGTCTCCTGCAAACGATTCGAAGTGGTCCAACTCCTCAGACCAGTCAATGCCTTGCACCTGGAAGAGTAAGGAGACAAGCGTTGCAAGAGCCTTGGTGCACGCATAGTGCAAGAGAACCACACCCGCATACACCCGCTCAAAACAAAAGAAGACAACAAAAACAATACTACACGGCAATACTTGTTGGTGACCTAGCCACAAGCGGCATTTGCAAATGCTTCAGCCCTGCAATGATCCAACAGCGTTGCTTATCTTTCATGTTGCGCGGCAGCGGCCGCTCTTCATCTGATGGATCACCACCTTGAAACGGCATCTTTGCCTGCATCTCCTTGAGCCTGGCCACAACTGACAATCTCGCGCTCCTCCTCTTCGAAGTGTGACCTTTCCCCATGGCGCCAAATCAAACAAACCTCGGGTTCAACACCGCGCTTCAGCGATAGATCGAGCCTTTGAGATGCTGGAGCCATGCAGTAAGAGTTAGCCACTGTGTGAAAGAGCTTTGAAAACTGAAGCCACAGTGACATGAGACTGGTTGAGTTCGCTCACACTCAACATGCCCCAAACAATTGATAAACCCTGGCTGCACCACACGCTCCCTGGTCCTTCCACAAAGAGATGTTGGAGCTAAAGGTTTGCAGTACCTGGAGCGGCTGGATTTCTATTTTTGAAAGAAACCTAAATCAAGACTGCGTGGGTTTCGCGAAGGCATCCCTATAACTAAATGTATACGGTATACGAAGATTTTTTGGACAGCGCGCAGTCGCGACGAGAGTTTCAACGACTCAACGCAATCCCCGATCCTAAGGGGCTTGGCATTGAGAACCCCAGTCAAAGCTATCTTTGACATACCAAGAAGTAGCTAGCAGTAGCTAGAAGTGACTCAAAAGCCCGATCGCTTGATTACCTCGCGCCAGGCATTGGATGCGCCACCGAATTTGCTCCACGTCACCTGTCCGAGCCTCTGGGCATCAGCTTGGTGGGATGGAGAAGCCTTCTTGACAATATAGGCCTTCTGCTTGAGCAGACACTCAACGACCTTGGCTTCACAAAGACCACTCGGATCTTTTGTGTTTTTATATCCCGAGAAGCCCTATTTGACTTTGGTGTGTCCAAAACAAATCAGTTTGCTTCAATGCCCGACTCTTGCGATGGGTGTGAAACCTCATTGCTGTTCATTGGAACTTCACACTTTGATTGAGTTCGACCAAAGAAAAATGTAAAGGGTCATATATCAGGACAAGAGGCAGCTCCTGACTTGGAACGAGCGGTGTACCCATGACGACCATGGTGTAGCTGTCCAACACGGGGCCTGGCCTCTTCTGGAACGCCAAGTGCATCCAGGTCATGCTCATGGAACTTGGTCATGATGTCCCCAAATTGCCCCCCGCCCAACGCATCCAGCGTGTCTTGGCCCTTGCGCTCAGACATGTGCTTGGCCTCAAAGGTTGAAGTCTTCCCTGTAAACACCAACCCTGAACCCTTTTCACAAAACCAAAAACCCAGAGAGGGGCCTCAACATCAAAACCTTTCTGTCAAACTTGGGCGCGGTCTGAGGGCCGACTATGGGAGGAGGAGTTTGAAACAGAGCCCGCGCAACTTCGTCGCCTTGCTTTGGCCGCTTGGCCGCCGGGGTCTTGGCATTGGAGTCCGTATCGTCCAGCGCTTCGCCCATCCCCATAAGGCCCAAGGCCTTGTTGAAGGGGCGCTTCTGCGCCTGAAGTTGATGAGCATGTGGGGACATGGAAATCATACAAGCATCAAAGAGCTAGACATGTGTTTAAACATAAGTGCTTGTCAGTTTTTTGGATGGCATTGGACTCTCAACATGCCTCGTTCTGTTTGGTAGGGCCCGTAGTGCCAGCAGGGTCGGTGTCCTGGTACGAAGTTCAACGAACACACGAACACAAAAAACATCTAAGTAGATCTATGCGGTGGTGGGCAATGCATGAGCCTTGTACAAATATGGCTGCTATAATGCAGTGACAGAGTTTTTATGATCAAAGAACCAAAGATTTTGGAAACAGTCTCCTTGCTCTTCAGAATCCACTCTTTGAAGTAATCCAGGCCGGACAGCTTGGCATAGGCAGAATCACCATAAGTGCGCAGCGCTTTGGAACACCACTCTTCATATCGGATCCATTGCTCCCCTTGTAGAAGCACACCGCCCATGGCCTCTTCCAAATCAGACTTGATGTCCGCCAGAAGCTTTTGATGGGTCTTAGTCTCCCAATCCATGGCTTCTCTCTCTTGCCGGCCGTAATAGTTGATTGCCTTTCCCATCCAGCCCGACGACACTTGAGAGTCTCTGTGCTCCGAGCTGCTCTCATCATTGCTTTCCTCAGAGTCATTGCTTTGCCCCAGAACCAGCGTGGGCGCTGTGAGGCTGTCATCAGACGAGGCCTTTTCCAATCTTGCGGCATCTTCGCAAGGTTCCGATGTTCCCTTTGCAGCGCTCTTCTCTTCATCGTCACTCTCAGAAGAAGGCTCTTCCGAAGCTGGGCCCTCTGAATCTTCAGAAGCCGAGTCCCGTGCAGCTTCATCAGAAACTGGGTCATCTGCAGCTTCATCAGAAGCTGGGTGAGGTGCTGGGTCAGCTTCATCAGAAACTGGCTCATCTGCAGCTTCATCAGAAACTGGGTCATCTGCAGCTTCATCTGCTGCCTCGTCGCCAGAAGACAAAGAAGGTCGGCGCTTTCGTCCATGGTGAGCAGGGCTGTCGCGAAGAAAAGACTTCAAGTGACGCATTTTCTCGCTGCCACCAGTCCGTGAACTCCGCCACAAAGCTCTCAAGGCACCGAGACATCTCTTCAGTTTGCAACCCTCTAGGCCAGCCAGCTGAACTCGACACTCTCCCTTTGCAGGGCGAAACAGCTTCTTGTCAAGTCGCTTGTCAAGCTCCACAAAGACATCCGTGAGGAAGTAGGCGGAAGGAACCTGATTCAGGTCCAAGCTTCGCAAGGGCTGAGTGAGTGGAAGAATGAAAGATTCACAACGAATGAGAAATCAAAGAGTGGGTGAGGTGTAGGAGTCGAGGAATCGAGGCAAGAGTGAGTGAAGGAATGAATGAATCAAGAATGAGTCAGACCCCAGAAAACGCCACTTTACTTGCCCCTGCCGTGGAAAACCTTAAAAACATAATTGATCACTTTTAAAGCATGCTAGAAAAACATGTTTGAAACATTTCCTTGCCTTAGCTGGGCTGTAGTTTACGCAAGGCAACAACCAGACATAGTTGATGCTGATCTCCTTGCTCGTAGGCTGCCTGACCCCCTTGCTCTGAGCTAGGTCGACCAAAGCTGAGCCCTTGAATTGCTCGTCAGCAAATATAGACAGCATGGTGGGAGGTAGCCCTCGATGCATAGCTGAAGCCACCTGGTCCTGAGAGATCCATCGCATGACATCGCATGAGATTGGTTTGGGGGTTACCGGTTGCCGACACATCCCTGATCGATAACAGGGTGCAGGAGCATGCCACATTCCGAATTCCATTCTTTTTATCGAGGAAATGCTGGCAAGAATCAACATCTTCATAGCTCCAGGAGATTTTGCCAGGCCCTTGGCCGGACTTGCATGAGTTGGTTTCTTTTTTTGGCATTGGTGGAGAGAAAGTGTCGCGCCACAAGAAAGCTGGTGTTAAACAATATGTCAAAAAACATCTTCATTTGTGTTTTATTGAGTACCGGGCTGGTCGAGCGCCACGTCGCAGCAGGATCTGTTTGTTCGACAAGCGGGACTGGAACAAGGGCCATTGCCAAAAACACTTGTCTTTGGTGACACCGATTGAGCCAACGAAACACCCTTCCAGAAATGGTTGAGCCACAAAAGACATTTTTGGGAAAATGACACGATGCCTGACTGCGCGCTTGACCTTTGAAACACCTTCGCCTTCTTGAACAAAACGCTTCACAGGCTCCAGCACTAAGTGGGTCGCGCCAGGGGCACGTGTTGAAGTCGAATGCACTCCCGCACTCCGCCTGAGGCTGAAAGTGGAGTGAGTGGTTTGAGCGGCGGCGCAACTCACGTCTCACGTTTGAGGACGAGCTGGGGTCCATGTCATGAGCTAGGGGTCTCACCGTACAACCATCTAGAATCTAGTTTGCACAGCTGTGGCCCCGGGCTGTTTGCGCGGCTGAAGGCTTCGAAGGTCGAAGGTGCAAGGTCGAAGGTGCATGCGGCAAGGCGAAGTGGTTCCCCTATTTTCAGTCTCTTATTTATAAAATAGAATATAGTGTTTATGGGTCACATCTCGTTCTCACACAGTGCCCTTTCACAGTCACAAGTCTTACCGGCGTTACCGGGCTAGCAGAGATTTGAATGAACCGACGTTGAGCTTCTCAAAACAATAGTTGTTGGACGTTGTTGCTTGTAATGACACTCTTCATCAACGCCCTGCTCTCCAGCTCGCACGCGCCAGCGCCAAGCCAAAGGCTTCAGCGCTAAGCGAAAAAAAAAGAAAACGCACACACACACACACCCTGTTCCTACCCTCAAACATCTCTGTGTGTGTGCCACCTTCTTTTCACACCGAAAAGGCGAGTTAGAAAGAACTTGTTTACAGTTTACAGGGAACCTTTTGAAAACGCGATCTTCGAACGCGCTCGTCGCCCGACAAACACCTAAAAACGTGCACGAACATTAGATAAACATGGTGGGGGGTTTTTGCGCGTGGTAAGCTGCACACCGAAAACACATGTGCGATAGTTGCTGGCGCAATTGTGCATTTCACCTGTGCTTGTGCAAAAGCTGGTGGGAAAGTGGATTGCTTTCAAGCCAAGTTGAGCAAACACTGGTAGCGAAGCGGTGCAACTTGAAGCCAAGCGATTCTTTTTTTTAATAGCAGAGCACAAGTCCTTGAAACCATTCCTCAAAAAGCCAGGCACAGAAACCCCTATCCAAACGACAAGTTTTTGGCAAACGAGACTAACGCCCTTCGTTTGGAGAAACGCTGTCCCAGGGACAAGGTTGGATTCTCTAGGCAGGTGCGACGGTGTGTTGGAGAGCAAGTTCATCAGTGAAGCGAGTGAACTCATCTGAAAGCCATCCTCTTCCTTCGTCAGTGATGAGTTGAGCAGGAGGGCCAAAAAGAGCAAGCCAACAGCGCTGAAGAGCATCGATCAGGCAGTCACCCCTCTCAGCTTGCAACAATTAAGGTGGCGGCTTGCCATTTGGTGGCTGCATCAATCATGGAGAAGATTGGAAACTTGTTTTGTCCACTCTTGATCCAAAACACATCACACTGTAGCTGGTCGTTGAAGGTTGTGACCACCTTGGCCGAGCTCGGAGATGCTTGCGCAGGCTTCTTGAACATGTCACAGGTGGCACAATGATATTGACGTGCGACTTCAAGAGTCTGAGGAGAAGCGCCTCTGACTTCCAAAAGATCGGTGAGCTTCTCAGCACTTGGGTGGCCAAGGTTTCTATGCAGTTTCTGAACCACACGAACAGCTTCTTGTTTGTTGGTCGTCAAAAGTTGGATGAGGCGTCCTTGATGTGAGCGAACTGGCTGACTGTCCTCAAGGGTGTAGGCCTGATTCCAAGCCTGGGGTGTCTCTTCGGCAGCCAGGGCTACAGCAAGGACTGAGGCCATGGCCGGCTGATAGTCCTCAAGGTACTTGGTGCGAAGGCGTCCACCAGGCATGCGTCCTTCCAAGGTGCAATGAGTGTGGCTCTTGTCACACAACAAGTTCATCGATTGTGCCATGGCTCTCTTTGTGGTGCGAAGGGCTGTAGGTTTGAGAACCAGCTTCCAACTGTTGTCGATGTCCTTGCAACAGCCGCCGTAGGCACATTGATGAAAAACCACATGATAGCCTGGTAAGTTCTGAAGTGCCTTGGTGTACCAAGACAAGGCTTCTTTGGGTTGTTCCAAATGGGCATGGCGAGCACCAAGGACTTGTCGGCGGTAAATCTGCCGGACAAAACGAAGATGTACATCATGATGCCATTGGCGTTCTTCTTGCAACTTTTCCTTTCGCTCGGGCGTGTTGGCTGCCAGAGCTTGCATCTTGCTCCACAGACTGCATTTGGGAGCCAGGAAAATCTCATCAGGGAGTTCATCCTGCTGTTTGCGAAGAAGGGCTGTTCGGTGTGCGGGGTCATCGAAGTCCCAACCGGTCTCATATCCAAAAACTTCAACTTTGCAGCCCAACGTTTCTGCGATTGCTGACACTCTGGAGGCGCCAGCATAGAACTCCCAAATCAACCGTGGTCGGGGTGGAGCATGAAGTTCTGAAGTAACCATGGCCTGAAGTTGGCGCTCTGTGTGGTTGAGCGCATGGTCAATGCGTTTCCAGTCTTTCAGCACGATCTTCCGGCTTTTCTCTACTACTGGCGTCTGACCGGCGTCCTGAGAGACCCCCTCCTGACTCTTGTAAGTCCTGAAATCCACGGTGAAGGGCTCAACATCCTCGTGGAGGGCGGAATCTGCCAGGACAAGGTCGAACGCCGGTGGCCAAGTGAGCATGTCAGGTTGGAAGTCGGCTGTGAGAGGCAACAAGTATTCCCCACTTAGGAGGCGCGCGGGACTTAGCTAGTTGAACTATACTTAAAGTATACTTAGAGTAGACTTACGGCATGGTAAGTCTATCATAAGTTGGTTAAGTTAATGGTAAGTAGGTGTTGGTTTTTAAGTTACTTGTGATATACTTAGCCACTTCTGCACTACTTATAAGTAGATCATTCAAAATGTCAAAATACTTACGAGCTACTTACAAACTACTTAGCTACTTAGGTTTTTAGGTTCTTTAGAAGCCCTTTTTCAACACTCGTCGATATATGGCCATGAAAGTGATTTATTTTGGCTGAGACGTGGGCTCCAGCAACCGGTTTTGTGTTTTCGGCCCGCATGGCTTTGGCGGTGCAGAGACAATTGGAAGCAGCGCAAAGATTTTTGTGTTGGAGAAGTTGAGGAAAGTCCTGACTTCCACGCCGGACTTATCCACCAAGCAGTCAGGGGATTTACTCCTGAGTCTCGATACAGCCTTGTGGGATGAAAAGTCCTTGGAGGACCTTCGGTCTTGGATCGCAGAGAAAACGGGCTTGGAGGATTTGGAATCGGGAGGGAGGCGTCAGAGCCAGGATTATATGAACCTGCCATCCTTTCTTCCAGACTGGTTGTGGAAGAACTTGTTGGATCCGAACGAGGCTCCGGAGGTGTCTTTGGAGAAGCTTTGCGGCTATGCCGCGAATCTTGGTTTGCGTTTACCAACAGAGGGTACATTGGCCATGCTTTGCACCCTTGCTTACCAGAAAGATGTTCTGGCCATGTCTGGCCACGCAAAGCATAGGTTGCTCGAGCAAAAGAAGCCTCTGATACGCAAGTGGCTTCAAGGCAATAGGCCTCCTGTGCATGTGGGGACATTGCCGGACTCTTGGACCGATATTCCCGGAGAGCTTCGCAGGAAGGCGATTCCGTCGGGGGTGGATCCACTACCACCACCGCCGAGTCATGTGGATTTTTGGCGTGTTGCGAGCACGTGGCCTGTGCGGGTGTCCAACCGGATGGCCTTGGATGGAGCAGCTCAGGCTTCTACGCCTTCTGGCGTGGATTCCGGAGCATTGGGGAGGATGGCAGAGGTGGTCCAGTCTAGCGTGCAACTTGTACAAGAAGCACAAGCCATGGCCCGCACTGCTCTGACGTCGGTGGGCAAGGGACCTTCAGGCGAGCAGGTTATGCTGGCATTGGAGGATGGTTCGGTTGACGATGTTCCTGCCCGCAGAGCAGCTCCAGAGGTGGAGACGCCTGCAGAGCGACCAGGTGAGTCTGTGCGCGTGGGCACGGGAAAGATCTCTGTACAGCAGCAATTACGTGACCTGCAGACAGGTCTCACTGGAGCAGACTGCACAGATGCCATCTTGAAGCGTCCGGCTGCTTCGGTGGACCTGCGGAAGCGTCCGGCTACCCAGATGGCCAGGCCAGCAGCTGCCTCCAAGGGATCTTTGCCACGTCAGCCATCGCGGAAGCAAAGGCCGGCTTCTGATGACACGCGGAAGAAGTTTACTTCCAGGGCATATCACGCTGCGAAGAAGCGCGTGCTTCGGAGTGGAGGTAGTACAGTTGCCGCTACGGAAGCTGCTAGGGAGGCTCTGCGCAAGGCATCGGTTCGTTGGGCTGCAGATCATGCGTGATCCAGTATGCCACTCAAGTAGTTGATTCTCTTGGACGCGGAAGACGCGTGGTAGAAAAGGTTGAGAGCTTTGTTTTGTAGCTAAGAAGACGCCTAAATTTATGTGAATATATGTGCTGTAGCTTTTTTTGGGGGGACAGCGTGTGTTGGAGTCATATATGTTTGACGTGTGACATACATGACGCCGGCTCAGACGGGAACCGCAGCTGTTTGGGGCGTGTGTCGGCCGAGCTCTGGACGGAAGGAGCGCCGGGCGCTTGCACGATGTGATAATAGGTGTCTTTAATAGATAATATATATATATATGTGCGTATCAATCAGCACTGCGACGTAGCCTGAAATCTACATTATACATATTTGTACAATCACGGCACACATATACATACGCGCCATGTACGCTGTGTCAGCACTGCGACGGACTCAGACAATGTTACTTGCGTGG